GTTGTTAACTTAGTACAACAACATTATAATTCACAATGCCATGACACTCGAGACATAAGAGTTAGCGTTCATATGCTATAGGTACAACAACTCCGCATTGCGAATCGGACTTAGCAGTTTTTCTTTCTCGTTCTTCTTATTTCACTTGAAAGATTATGTCATTTGTTGTACTAACAATGAGTCTCTTTATATGTTCATAATGTAGAATGATGTGAGAAGTGAATATAGATAAGAAGAGAGTTTGAGACAAATTTGTACAATTTCTTCCATTTTTATAGTTAATTTATTGATATGATATAGCTTCTTTATTTATTCCCAATTTTGATTTTTTCGTGCTTTTTTTTTTTTTCCTTATTTGTATTTTTAGAAAATTATCAAAATTGTATTATGCTACAACTTTTTTTTTATTATTTAAAAAATTATTATAAAATATTTTTCTTATAATGCTATAGCTATAAGCAATCTATTATTTTTCCTTAAAATTTATAAAACCCTATATATATATATATATTAGTTCCCGAGTTTTGTGAGGTTCATTATGGCCGGCCCTTTTAAGATGTCCACAACCTAACGGCCCACAGAATGAATTATCGTGATGGGCTCTACTAGAGCTGTATTGTTTCGCAGGGCTCGTTCTTCGTGGAGGATTTTCTTTTCAATTATGTTTTAAAATGAAAATAAAATCATCATTTTTGCAAAGCATTGAAACGGATAAAAATTCGATGAGAAATAATTTTAACATAATGATTTTAAAACTGTTAAGTTTATTTCAAAATAAACATAATGCATGAAAAATTAATAACAATTACATTTAAGTTTGGTTTAGAACACTTTTCTTATTATTTTTTAAAGCAGTTTTTTAGATTTTGGTACTTTAAAACTGCTTTAGAAAAAAAGAAAGCTGTCAGAAACAAAGCTTAATTTTAACTTGAAGTAAACATAAGAATTCTAAATATGCGTATATAAAAATATAAACATTTGAAGGAGAGATTATTACGTGTGGAGTCCGAATACAGAGAACCGTTCTGTTTTGTAATTGTGAACAAGAAAAGCATATGGGTGAATAGTAAAACACAGTGGTGACCATAAACTGTATTTTTACGGTTCACAATCATAAAATCGAACGATTCTCTGTGTATGAACTCCGCACATAATAATCTCTCCATGTTAAGGGTGACAGGATAGGATGCGTATGAAAGATAAAATTATGATGGACATGGAAGTAGGTTCTTTAAAGTTTGAAACTTTATGTAAATAAATAATGAATTTTATGTGTTAAATATACAAATTTAATAATTTTAAGTGCTAGATATATAAATCCAAATAATTTTAATTATTCCAACTCATGCAACCATTGAATTATTTTTAATTTTAAAAAAATTTTAATAATCAAATCCACACTGCCACTCTCTTCTATTTTCTTCATGATTAATAAACAATATATTTAACATCACTTTATTTTATTGCATCTTTTAAAGACTCAATATTTCATGGCTAATAAAGTGAATGTTTAGCTTCACTGTAAAAAATCATTAAAATTTATAAGATAATTTGAAATACTCTTTGAATTTCAAATTTTATAATCATCGTTTATTTGTTTGCATATTTTTGTTGAACAACCTTTAACTACTAGTCTTCAACTTCTTCATCTAACATGTGAAACTGTAGAACAGAGAAGAAAAAAAAATGCAAAAACTTCTTCCTCATTTCAACGACCTTTTCTGCAGCTATTACTATAGTATATATCAATATGCTTAGACAGTGAGAATTAGGAGGTTAGAACTAAACGATCAGGACAAAACAACATATAAAGTGTCAAGTTGTATCGGAGTAGTGCAAGTATGATTACACTATGATATGTGGGCTTGCTTATCACCTCCCCTCAAGCTAGCAATGGGTTATATAATGGTTAGCTTGCCGTGAAGCTCCTTAAAATGCTGAACTGATAAAACTTTTGTAAATAAACCAGCTAACTAGTCAGCAGTATGAACATGTGAGACTTGCAGTAAATTGCTCTTGATGCACTCGCGAACAAAGTGAAAATCTATTTCAATATGTTTGGTTATGGCATGTAAAATATGTTTGTTGGCAAGAGAAATTGAAGAAATATTGTCACAAAATAAAAGTGTAGGAGATGTAGAATTAATCTGAAATTCTTGTAGTAGCCTTTTAAGCCAAATAATATCGATTGCAGCAGTTGCAAGTGCCCAATATTATGCTTCAGTGAACTACCAAACAACTGCTTTCTGTTTCTTAACTTGCCAGGAAATAAATGTGCGACCAAGGAACGCACAATAACTAGTGGTAGATTTCTGATCATCGGGATCACCAGCCAAATCAGAATCGGAATAAGCATATAATCGAAGATCCGCAAAAATAATGGGTAAACCAAAATAAAGTGTACCTTTGATGTATCAAAGAACCTACTCAAGAAGCTTAAAATCATCTTCTTGAGGTTGATGCATGTGTTGGCATAGTTAATTAACAACATAAGCAATATCTGATCGTACGGGTTTTAAATATTGAAGAGAGCCAACAATTTGCTTGAAGAAATCAACTTGAGTAGGTGATACAAGTTGGGAAGAGTTGATGGTTGATTTGGAGGTGATGGGTGATGAGATGGACTTGCAGTCAGTCATGTCGGGCTTGTTAAGCAATTCATCACATATTTAGGTTGAGATAAATGAAAACCTGTAAGGGTATGTGAAACTTGCATCTCAAGAAAATAAGAAATTTGTCCAAGATTTTTCATATGAAACCTTTGAGTAAGTGGCGTCACCAAGTGTTGGATTTTAGAAGAATCCTACCCGTTAGTAGGATATCATCCACATAGACTAGGATGTAGAGAACGATCGAATGCTTGCGGTAAATCAACAAGGAGGGGTCGGTTGTACTATGAGTGAAGCCATATTGAAGAATGTATGTATAAAAAGTCTCAAACCATTGCAAGAAATTTTTTTTAGATTGAGAAGGAAGTCTATTTATTAAATAGATAGCTGTAATAACAACATGCACCCATAACTGATGAAGGATGTGTGCTTCAAGCAGTAAGGAACAAGTTGTTTCGAGGATATGACGGTGCTTGCGCTCAACAACATCGTTTTGTTTTGGAGTATAGCAACATGCAATCTGATGAAGAATGCCACATTTAGATAATAAAGATTGAAAAACATTGGATGTGTATTCACCGTCGCCATCTGAACACAAGCATTTGATAGTTGTATTGAATTGTTTTTCAACCAACATTTTAAATTGATAAAAAATTTGGGCAACATCAGATTTAGCTTTTAGAGGTTAAATCATAAAATTGAGAAAAATCATCAATGAACAAAATATAGTATTTGCAACCATTTATAGATAAAATGGGCGAAGGACCCCATACATCACTATGTATCATTTCTAAGACATGACTCAATCTAGAAGAAGAAGAAAAAGGCAACTTGAGACTCTTAAAGAGAGCACAAGTATTACAATGATAACTTGTAAATAAAGACAAAGAGCCAACATGTTTCAGTAGCTTGAGAAGAACTGGATGAGACGAATACCCAAGGCAATGATGCCACAATTGGGTTGAAGTTTTTGTAGCTGAAAAGGCTGAGCGAGATGGACAATAAGCGGAATCAAAATTGAGGGGGTAGAGTCCTCGACGAGATGGACCTTGAAGGAGAATTCAGTTGGTCATCTGGTCCTCTATATGGTAGCCATGTGAATAAAAAATCACAGAGCAAGAGTTATCAGTGGTGAGGCGATTTATACAAAGAAGATTATGAGTTAATTTAGGAACAATATGAAGAGAAGAAAGTCGGAGCTTACGGTTGGGAGTGGGTAACAAACCTTTACCAGTATGAGTGATGGGCAAGAGTTCGCCATTGCCGATCATAGCTTGTTGATGTCCTTTGTAAGGCTTTGCATTAAATACTTGATTGGAATCAGCAGTAAGATGGAATGTAGCACCAGTATTAAGCAGCCAGTCAGAAGAGGATGAAGCTAATTCAGTTGAATATGCCGAAACTAGTGGCTGGTAGGAGAAATTGCCATGATGCCAACATTTGAATGCAGAGTGACCCATCTTGCCACAGATTTGTGATGCGGAGCATCTTTACGTGCCTATGCTGCAAGGACAACTTATCAAGCACATGGATCGTTGGCCAGAAGACGCCGAGCACTACCTTTCTGTTGCTAGTTATTTTCTGCTTTTGACAGTAATCATTAGAGTAAACTTTTTTTATTTCTTAGCTGCATTTAGTAGTCTTAGCCGGAGAATTAAGTACTCCATCGGGGAAAGAGTAAGTAGTTTATGATCTGATATTTTCAAAGGTATAGAAGTTATCTTCCTGTTCCATTGCTTGTTAGCTTTCTCTGTTTCCCAGAACTCATTCTGTGCAGATTACCGACTACATCAGGTTTGGTATCAGAGCCAGATGGCTGAGAGCAGTAGACGGGTGGCTCCCGGTGAAGATCGAAGCCTTGAAGACCTTTGGGCAGAGCATCGGAAACTAGCGCAGCAAGTGGAAGAGGCTGCGACCGAAGCTCAAATGTTCCAAACGGAGGTGCGACGAGATCTGCGAATGATCTTCGTACGCTTGGAACGCAATCCGGCAATGCGGATGGCAACGCCGAATAATCATCCAGCGGCTCGCCGTGGATTGGATGCTGGAAGAATAGCAAACCAAGAGGTGCAGAGATGCGAGGTGTCAGATTCAGAAGATGAAGCTGATTTAATTAGAGAGCTGGAACTATCCGATTCGGAGGAGGATGAAGGTTTTCATCACCGCCGGCGTCAAAGGGGAACGGAGCGAAATCACGGTGAGTTTCGCGTTAAATTGGATATTCCGTTCTTCGATGGAAAACTACACATCGAAGACTACCTAGATTGGGAGCGGGCAGTAGAGACTTTTTTTGAATACATGGAGATTGAACCGGCGAGGCAAGTGAAGTATGTTGCCTGTCGATTGAAATCGGGAGCTAGCGCGTGGTGGTTACAGTTATTGCAGTCAAGAAGACGCGAAGGTAAGGGACCTATTCGCAGTTGGATGAGGATGAAGCAATTGCTCCGTGGTCATTTTTTGCCTACAGATTATGAACAATTGTTATATATGCAATATCAACATTGCTCGCAAGGTAACCGATCAGTCAATGAATATACGGAGGAATTTTACCGTATGAGTGCAAGGAATAATCTGAACGAATCCACAAATCAACTTGTTGCAAGATATGTGGGAGGCTTGAAAGAAGCAATCCAGGACAAACTTGAATTAAACACTGTTTGGTCATTATCCCAGGCAGTAAACTATGCCTTGAAAGTGGAGGTGCAATTGGCAAGACATAGCAGGAGCAGTCAGGGAAAACGAGTTGTGGAACAAGCTGCAGAAAGCTACCGATCCACTAATATGAATGCTCTTCCAAACAGCAGGATTCAAAACAATTCGGGAGGAATCCAAATACCGCCGGGTGCTGGAAACAAAAACTTGGAGTCGAAAATCGCCCCGAGACTCAAAGGTCAGTCTAAAGAAAATCCTTATTCTAAACCTTCGACTATCAAATGTTTCAGGTGTTTTCAGCAAGGGCATAAATCCAACGAATGCCCGACACGACCTCAAATTCACACAATTGAAGCGGAAGAAGACACGACGTTAGAAGACGGCGAGGAGGAATTGGGAGATTCACATGAGGAGGTGAACGGAGATGAGGGTGAACCACTTATTTGTGTGATACAAAAATTACTTCTGACACCAAGACAAACCGACAGATCGCAGCGAAACATTTTGTTTAAAACGAAATGTACAATCAACGGGAAGGTTTGTAACTTACTGGTCGATAGCGGATGTACAGAAAATGTAGTTTCCAAAGCGGCAGTGCAGGCCCTACAACTTAAAACAATTCCGAATGCTAATCCATACAAAGTTAGCTGGGTGAAGAAGGGTGTCGAGATCGCTGTCACAGATAGCTGCCGAGTTCATTTTTCTATTGGGAAGAACTATGATAGCGAAGTCGTGTGCGATGTAATCGACATGGATGTTTGCCACATCATTCTCGGAAGACCTTGGCAGTTTGACGTAGGGGCAATTCATGATTGTAGAGCCAACACTTACACCTTCAAATGGAAGGGAAAAACACTAAAAATGATGCCCAATAGTAAGGAGACGGAAGATGTTGGCCAAAACAGCAAACTGTCAATGTATGTGGTGTCCGGCAACCAGTTATTGCATGCTTGGAGAGACTCGACGCACATTTTGGCACTTGTAGTTAAAGAGCAAACAGCCGCAGTGGAGCAAGGTGAGGTTCCAGAACTTGTCAAAAATCTGATCGAGCAATATGCAGATCTCGGCCCAGCGAATCTTCCAGCTGAGCTGCCGCCCTTAAGGAACATCCAGCATCGTATTGACTTGATACCAGGCTCAACAATTCCCAACTTGCCGCATTATCGCTTATGTCCGAAGGAGCAGCGAATTTTACAACAGTTGGTGGATGAATTGCTCGAGAAACAGCTAATTCAACATAGCCTGAGCCCATGTGCAGTCCCCGCTTTGCTCGTACCTAAGAAAGATGACAGTTGGAGGATGTGCGTTGACAGCAGAGCAGTTAACAAAATCACCGTCAAATTTAGATTTCCGATGCCGAGGATTGAGGAGATGCTAGAAAGATTAGCTGGATCAAAAATTTTCTCCAAATTAGACCTCCGAAGTGGGTATCATCAGATTCGAATCAATCCCGGGGACGAATGGAAGACAGCGTTTAAGACGAGAGAGGGATTATACGAATGGCGTGTAATGCCGTTCGGCTTATGCAACGCTCCGGCGACATTTATGAGGCTGATGAACGAAGTCCTTAAACCCTTCTTGAACAAGAGCTGTGTCGCTTACTTCGACGACGTGTTGGTGTTTAGCGGCAATTTGGAAGACCATCTCCAGCACTTGAAGCAGATTTTTGAAGTCTTCAGACAAAACAAACTGTACTTAAATATGGCAAAATGTGAGTTTGCCACAAATGCTGTCTCATTCCTCGGATTCAAGATAGATGCTGCGGGTGTGAGTACAGATTCGAGAAAGATTGAATCCATAGTGGGGTGGCCTACTCCAAAGTCTTTTACAGATATACGGAGTTTCCACGGCCTGGCAAATTTCTACAGGAAATTTATCAAGGGCTTTAGCATCATCGTAGCTCCGCTAACCGACATTTTAAAGCAAAAACAATTCCAGTGGGGAGAAGAGCACAACAGGAGCTTTGAAGCAATCAAGAAAGCACTGTCATCCGCACCGGTGTTGGCTTTACCAGAATTTGACAAACCATTTTCTGTAGAAACGGACGCATCCACGGTCGGAATCGGTGCCGTCCTGACTCAAGAAGGCCGACCCATCGAATTCTTTAGCGAGAAGCTATGCCCATCCCGACAGCGGTGGTCAGTTTACGAGCAAGAATTATACGCCGTGGTGAGGGCGTTAAAGCAGTGGGAACACTATTTGCTACACCAGGATTTTGTTCTATGTAGTGATCACAAGGCACTACAATATATTAATACACAAAAGAACATCAACCGCATGCATGCAAGGTGGATCTTATTTTTACAAAAGTTTACTTTTGTGTTGAGACACAAAAGCGGTGCACAAAATCGAGTGGCGGATGCCTTAAGTCGCCGATCTGCTCTCATCACCCAGCTACAAACGGAATTCTTGGGGTTGGATTCATTGCAGGAGTTGTACAGAGAAGATAAGGATTTTGGCAAAGTTTGGCTTCAGTGCATTAATCAGGAACCAACGGATGACTTTTCATTGAGGCATGGATTTTTATTTAAAGGAAATCTCCTGTGTATCCCAGAGTCATCTTGGCGGCAGAAGTTAATTCAAGAAGTGCACGGGGGCGGGTTGGCTGCTCATGCCGAAAGAGATAAAACATTAGCACAATTACAGAGCAAATTGTTTTGGCCTCATTTAAGGAGGTATGTTAGCAAATATGTGGAACGATGCTCCATTTGTCAAACATAAAGGGTGGCGGACAGAATACAGGATTGTATCAACCATTGCCGGTGCCCGAATCAATTTGGGAAGACCTTAGCCTAGACTTTGTACTTGGGCTGCCTCGCACTAAGAGGGGAAATGATTCGATTATGGTCGTCGTAGATCGGTTCTCAAAAATGGCCCAATTTATTGCATGTAAGAAAACCTTCGACACTTTGAATATTGCCAAGCTTTTCTTCCGGGAGATCGTAAGGTTACATGGTGTGCCAAGGAGTCTCACATCCAATAGAGATGTGAAATTTATAAGTCATTTTTGGCGGGAGTTGTGGAAACGATTAAAGACCCAAGTGCAAATGAGCTCCTCTTATCACCCACAAACTGACGGCCAAATGGAGGTGGTGAACAGAACATTGGGAAACTTACTTCGGTGCCTAGTACAAGAGCAACCCAAGTTGTGGGATGATGTATTAAGCCAAGCCGAGTTTGCATTTAACTCCATGCCGAACCGTTCCACGGGTATGTGCCCATTTAGTATTGTTTATACTAAATTACCAAACACTGTTTTGGACATTGCAGCCATTCCAAATTGCAAAAGCAAAGCAGCTGCAGACATGGTGGATCAATTCTCTGAGATGTTGGCAAAGGTGTGTCTGAAGCTAGAAGAGTCTAATAAGAAATACAAATTAGAGGCCGGCTATCATAGAAGAAAGAAGGTCTTCAAGCCGGGTGATCTTGTTTGGGTGCGAATGAAGAAGGAGAGATTACCAGCGGGATCCTACAGCAAATTAAGTCAAAGAAAATTCGGACCGTTTCCAGTTAGTCGTTGCATCAACGACAATGCATATGTGATTGAATTACCGGCTGAATTCAACACACCCAACACGTTCAATGTTGCAGAAATACTTCTGAGACTTTGTGAGTATTGATGCCTAGACTCCCTGAAGAAGAGTGCTTAAAGCCCAAGTAAAGCAATCATCAACAACAAGTTTTGAATTTTTGTTCATCATCACATCCTGAGCCAATTTTTTTATTGCTTTATGAGTTATTCCATGTGTTTGATTTTATATAACTTATATGTTAATTTGTTTACCACCTAGGAGCTAAGAGTTATTTGCATTGTTGTTTTCATTTATTTGCTTACGGGCATTCCTCTATTTATATTTGAAGGACCTTTCTATTGAAGGAATTCTTAAGATTATTTTTTAATGGTTGATGACTGAATACGAGGTTTTCCTGCTGCCATTAGATTACGCTGCAATGCTATGATTTTGTGATGCTTATTCATTTCTTCAAGGAGATCTACGAGAGACAATGGCATTCTGTCTCCTTTCTTCAAAACAAACTTCTACCTTCCTTTTCTTTTATGCTGTTTCTCCATCATGGAACAAAATGAAGTAAAAACCTGCCTATAAGTTGGGAACTAAGCGATAAACTACCCAAAAGAATGTCCACTGAGCATCATAATGAAGCGTGTTTCATATACTTTTGTGCCTTAGAGGTAGAAAACTTGTAGCACTCTGCCACTCAACAAACAATGTGCAAATTTGCTCTTCCCGGTTGTTTTAGGTGGACTGAAACTTCTAAACGCTTTGTTTTTGGCGTCCATATGTTAGTTCGCTTATAAAAACATAGAAAATAGTGAGAATGACTTGATGTGAAATATACGTGAATTTTGGATTAACCCAAATGAACGAGGAAATAAACATTAAGGTTTCGTTTGGGACGGTTTTCTTACTACTTCTTAAAATAATTTTTTATTGTAAAAATTTTAATTTTTTACTAAAAAATTCTTTAAAAAGCAGTAAAAAAATCGTCCCAAATGAAGCCAGAAAAAAACCATTTACTACTTCAAAAAAGGTTGCTTAAAAGGCGATTAGCTATCCAAAAATGAAAGCACAAATAATGTAATGCTTTATTTTAGCTCTAATAGTAGATAGAACTTCAAAAGGCATATTAAAAAAATGAATCATCATCTACCTGTATGGTAGCTCCTCCTCTGCCATGTTGGGTGTGCTGTGCTTTTAGAACCTATGCAATCATAAAATTTAAAAGAAAATCATATACAAGAAACTCGGTTGCCAAATGGGAGGAAATATATAGAGGAAGATAGTTACGTAATACTCCCAAAATAAAAAAATTTCAAAATAAACTGAACATAACAGTACCTGATAGGTTCGCCCTATAGAACCCCAAAATTGAGTAAAGATAGCCTTGTTAGTAATTTAACGAAACAAAATCTTGAGCATAGTACAACACTTTGAATTAGATGAAAACCTTTTCTCTGAATCACATTCCCAATTCGCACCTGCAAGGAGTCTAGCTGAGGTTATATATATAGATTGATATATAATACATTGATAGATGAACAAAAACATAGTAGAATGCAATAGAATAAAAAAAAGTGGCATTCCTTGCTACATAAAAAAAAAAAAGAGAAAGTGATGAAAGTAAGCCAAGTCAGTTTAAAACTGCCGTTGCCAGGTTCCAAGTCCTGCATGAGAACAGTGGAGGGTTGCGTTAGTTAGTTGACAATCAGCGTAAAACTTGTCGAATAATCATGGCATGAATCCTTTAAAAGAGTGGGACAAAGGCTTGATGTTGTTGTTGTCGTCGTCAAGCTCTTATACTAATTATCAGAAATATTTCTGGCCAAGACATTCAAACTTTGAAAGTTATTTTTCAAAAATAACATATTTGTCTTAGCAAGCAAATTCGAATGTTCTGTGTCAATAATACATCTACTTATGCATTACTAAAGAAACACTGTGTTTTCAGTATCTCACCAGCAATAAGGGGAAAAAAAAAAACAAATGCTAGCTCAAAATCGTAAATAACTTTAAAGTGCTCTATCATATATTTTACAATTAAAGAAAAAAACTCCTTTTTCATGCAATACTTTGACAAAATTTAAGACTGGCTTTGACAACAATATAATTGTGGCATTATATTTTAACCTTACTCATACAATTTTCCAGCTTACACTATCCCGCACTCAATACAATACAATTGAAACAACTAAAATAATGATAAGCACTGATTCAAAACCATCAACTAAGTATCAAATCAAAGTAACACCTGCAAAATCAAAATTTGATTGAACTCAAAGGACTTTCGTTATGAATTTCTTCTATTGGAAGCAATAAACACACAGACAGGCAAACACTTTCTTGCGAACCATAAACAGGAAATTTACATCAGAACCGAGAACTTTGGCACCACGGCGTTGGATAGCAGCCCAGGGCACAGCAAGAGTGCGGAGTAGGGGCGAACTGGCGGCGGGCCGCAGCGGCTCCGTTGATCCCTGAGCAAGCGTCGCTATGGAAGAAGACGAAATGGTAGATAGAGAAAAACCAGAGGAGTGAAAAGCTCGGAACACTCTTCTGCTCGCGCGGTGCATTTGTCTCGATGGATAGCGGAAAAGCAGACGGCAGCGCCACAACAAAAACCCTCCAACAAAACCCCTCCAAATTTTTAACATATTGGGTCCCGTGCGCATGGGAAATTTATTGGGTCTGGTCATTCGATGTAAAATACGTTCTGACATCAATAAAATATTGACATATTAAATGTATATGTGTCCACAAAATTTTAAGTTAGGTGCGTCAAAAGCGCAGGTAAAGTGCATGTAAAGCGCGGTCAAAACGCAATCAAAAAGCACAGTCAAAGCGCAGATAAAGCACAGTCCACGTGGCAAGTTTTAATTTGATGTGCGGACCTATTTTTAGATCCGGTGACTGGACCTAATAATTTTTCATGCGCATTAGACGCAAATGAGTCGGGCTTAGTCTAGGAGAAGTTGATTTTAACTAAAAGAAAATAAATAAATAAATTATTCCATTTGTATGCCAATGATAATAAATATGGAAAAAATATAAGATAATTATTATATATTGATATAGCACAAATCTCAATGAAATTTTTTAAACTAAGCTAATTATATTTGAATTTAATTACAATAAAATTATAGTTGAAATGAATATTTCAATGAATAAGTCAAACGACATCATAGGTCCATAGGTGTTTCAATCAGTCTAAATGTGTCAAAATCAATTATCAAACACTTAAAGTGTTGTTGAAATTTTTGTGATACTATTGAAAGGTTAAAAAAATTTTGAATCTTGAGTCCTTATACTCAAAATGAGTATCCCTACAAAAAACATATAATGAATAATGAATCCAATATAATTAAATTAGAAGGTCATTAAGGCACTTAAATGTTAAAAAAATAGCCTATAATCAAGGAAACCAGCGATGATTGTTTATTGCATTTTTTTAGCTTAACTTTAGCAGTATTATAGTTAGATTTCTATTATCCATATGAAAGGGGGACTTGGAGCTAAACATGGATTGGATGTTAAAGGGAGCTCTACTTGATGATCGAAATTACAATCGCCACCAACAAATATTGCCGCCTAACCACTACTGTCCAACCATCAATGCCCGTCTATGATCACTTTGCGACCTTTCTCCGAATATGATCGCTTAAACAACATCGTGTGAATATTACGAATTCTTAAACACCATTGTCATAGTAAGAGCTCTTGATTGCTATCATCATGATTACAAATATATTGACTATTGACACCTAATTAGTGGTATGATTATAGTTTTCTAACCCCCATCACTTACTACATTATCCCAATTATTATCGCTTGACTATTATCACACATTAATTTCATCGCCAATAATATTGATGCATGCCATTTTGATACCCTAGAATCTAATTTAGAAGAATAATTTTTTTTATCTTTTAATTTGCACAACCATAGCTACCTAATTTTTTTATCAATATAAATAGTAGTTGAAATAAAACTATCAATCAAAATATCAATATATACATTTGTATTTATTTTTCAAAAAATTATAAGCGCTACTCAAGATCTATACAAACTTATCATAATGACTATGTCCTTGAGTATAAAATTATATAATAACTAAAATATTCACCCCATGCATAATATGAAATTATTAGAGTGGTATATTTTATCCTACACATGCATAAAATTCAAAATGATTTGTAAATTGAACTAGAGTACGTATGAATAAAATTCAAAATGATTTGCAATTTGAAAAACAATAAAAATAAATAAGAATGATTTCCAAATTGATCTAGAGCACACATTTTTCTTGATACTAATAGCAATAATATGGAGCTTTCATATATACATCTATCATTATAATAATAATAACAACAGCAAGCCTTTATCCACATGTGGGGTCGGCAACATAAATCATTTTTCTCCATTGTGTTCTAAGTGTCAAATTCTTATAACCGGTTCATCAGAAGGCCGATGTTTTATGTGACTATACCATCTAAGGTGACTCTTTTTAATATTAACTATCATCAGAGAGTCTAAACTTTTCATGTATATATATATATTGTTCTCATTCTATCCCTAAAAATAAAGCTAGTCATCCGCCTGATCATCTTCATCTCTCCAACACTTAAATTAATTGTATGATTCTCTTTTAATGGCCAACATTTTATGCCATAAAAAGTACAAGTCTCACAATCATCTTATCCCTTAAGTTTGAGGGGTATATTTTTATCACAAAATAAAATGGCGAAACAATTATCAAGATACAACGGAATTGCAGGCGAGATGACAGATGGCTATACCACGACGAGGCAACGAACTGCGGCATACAACTTTTCCATAATTAGGCGACGAACAACGGGAACGAATTGAACCACAGAAGACGACTCATGCAAATGAGACCAGCGAACGGGAGGAAGGGAGAAATTACGGGCAAACGACTGCAAACAACTGGAAATAGGGCTTCCTCAGGCGGCAAATTTTCCACCGGAAATGTTTCTTGCAGCTATTCCGCTATAAATGTTTCCAACGGCTATTCCGCAGGAAATAAGTCATCGAGTTCAAGTAAGCCGACATATATTCTGCCGTAACATTTCGATCCAACACAATTTTTGCAGGCAAATTTTGTCGGCTTGAAATAACTATCGGCTTGCCAGGAAGATAGGCCGTTGGAAAATTATTGGCGGTATATCCGCCATAAAAGTCGCTGGAATTTTTTTTGGCGAAAATATCGCCGATTTATCCGCCATATTTTCGCTGGACTTATATATGCCGGAAATGCAGCCGAAAATAACAGTTTTGCCTATCATGTGTCATCGCTCAATCTAATCTCTTAGACGGAGAACAACAATCAAACCACAAACGCTCACAAGAAGACAACTCTCTTGTCTCAAAGCTCTTTTAACTTCAACTATAAAATCCATCATACGCGATTCATGTCTATTACATTATGACAACACCTTATCTAATTATGTAAAATGATATTATTTATAAGCAATGATATATGTTAGTATAATCATTTCAATTGGGTTATATCTCATTTCTTTCCTTTATTGAATTTTTCATATATAAACTTTTGTGTTCCTTCCATTTTTTTCTCAGTATATGTGTTAATTAGTCCTACGTTAAAAATTAAAATGTTAAACTCTTAGTCTCAGCTGCTATAAATATTATAAAACACATAAATTTATAAATATGCGTTTATTTAATTTGATGCATATTTTTAATTATATAGTTACCTCTCATAAGGACAGATAATATATTTACTTGAGTTCTTAAACAGTTTAGGCATCAATTAAGAGGCTTAATCTACATAAAAAAATCTTAGTATTATCTTGGAGACCAACTTAATTAATCATTGAATGAAATATTAATTTTCTATAATCTCTATTTTTCGTTATCTTCCTTTGTTGAATAGCCATAACCTATTATTAGAAGACAGATGATTACTCAAAATAACTACCCTTAATTACTATTAATTTTAGTTTGCATGTTTTGAAATTATCATAAAACAAACTAGCATCAAAACAAATCACCAACAACCAGCAAGCCAATCCTAAATTTAAATAATGAAATCCCAAAGCCTCATTGAAGTTTCTTTTGATATAATGATATCAATAGCATAGTTTTTTAGTCTGAAATTCCAAGCCAATTCCCATCATTGAAATTTTGAAAGACAACAGAAATGCTATAACTAAACAAGTATACAATAACAACCAGCTGCATGTAAAGTAAAAATATAATAATTTAGGTTTTATTTGGGACGGTTTTCTCACCGCTTCTTAAAGCAACTTTCTAGTACAACAAATAAAATTTTGATACTCAAAAGCTGCTTTAAGAAGCAATAAAAAAACCGTACCAAACGAATCCTTAAACTCTGAAGAATTCATTCATCAAACATAGAACCTGAGCCATCTGAGGCCTCTCCTCAGGGCTTTCAGTTGTGCACATCATCCCAATCTTTATCAAACACATCAGCTCCTCTTCACCTGCACCATCCTCTATCTCCTTACAAGTCACCACTTTCAAAATCACCATTCCAAAACTATACACATCTGATTCCTGGGTAGCTTTTGCTTTGCCTGTCAAGAGCTCTGGTGCTCTGTAGTTATGCCAATTTGAAGAATTAGCACCATCTGCTTTGTTATATAAAACAGTTGAAGAGGAAGAATTTGGTTGGTGAAGGGTATTGGTTAGGGACATTAAGCCCCACTCAGATATTCTTCCATTGCCATCAAAATCTATGAGGACATTTGATGGCTTGATGTTTCCATGGACTATAGGAGATCTTGAAGTGTAAGTGTGGAGGAAATGGAGTCCTCGAGCAGCTCCCTTCAATATCTGGATTGTTTTACTCCAGTTTAAGACCCCATTAAGTGGCCTTCTTTCATCTGCCAAACAATAGATGGGAATTATGGTATGAACATCATCTTTTTGTTTGTTTGTTTTCTTATTTTTAGGGAATGGAAGGAAGTAATGATTCATGATCTATCTATAATTTAAGGCTTCATTTTAGGACTGCTTTTTTCTTGCTTTCTTTTCTAATACAAAAATTTAGTGAATTTGAAATTTTTGTATTAAAAAATCGTTTTAAAAAGCAGTACGAAAGCTGTCCCAAATGAAGCCTAAGTCACATTTGCAATCTAAAAAATAACCAAAACGGTCTCCTTGTTATTTAATGAGTCAATCAACATAATTATGTTTGGCAGACTTTAAGAACAAAGTTATAAAGAATAGATGCTTTAATACATCATAAATAATCAAAGGTTTATTTTGACAGTTCTCTTTGTATTTTACTCTAACATGAAAGATATCACAAAAAGAAAAAAAAAAAGCGCACTTCTATGCACATTTATAGGTTGTTTGTTTCCAAGGAAGTGAAAAGCAATTCAAACTTAAAATAAATGTGATTTATTTGTTGCATTGACTTTCTGTAATTTTAAGAAGAAAATAGCCAAAAATAATAATTTATGATAAAGCAAATGCAATTTTCACTTCAAATCATACAGTGAAAAAATGACTTCACCAATAATACTTAGTGGCCATTTTTCAGCTAGTCAAGCAGGTTTAATGGTGGAATCAAAAAAGGATTAGGGTTGATTCTCATCTCTTTATTTTTTATTATTTTCTAAAACAGTTTTTTAGTACAAAATTTTTTTAAAAATAACATAAAAACTATAGCAAAAAAATTGTCTCAGAGAAGCCTAAATCCGAGAAGAATCATATTAATTATGTATGACATATAAAATTTTATCTTTACATTATTCTTATAATTAATTATATTATTTAAGATGTTTTTCCATCATATGTATTTGCATATAAGATTTTGAACAACAATGTGAATGGCTATCCCTCTAGTAGGGAGATACAAGGATAAGGCATGTTTATTATTAAACAAAAATTTAAAAATTATGATAAAAAATCATTCTATGTTGTTATTTTTAGGCTTCGTTTGGGACTAGTTTATTACTACTTCTTAAAACAGTTTTTTAGTAAAAAAAATAAATAATTGTACTAAAAAATTGCTTTAAACGGAGCCTTAATTTATCAAGAAAATACTTACTGCTTCCATGCAGAAGCGATTGCAAGCTTCCATTTGGCATATAATCATAAACCAGAAGCTTCTCCTCATTAGAATTATAATAAGCTCTAAGGCAAACAACATTCTCATGGATCAAACTTCCAATTTGTCTCATTTTTCTGTTGAAATGTCCCTTTCCATGAGCTCCAAACCTCACTGAACTAAGCCTCTTAACTGCTACGATCCTCCCATCATCAAGAAGGCCTTATAAGTGCTTCCACAAACTCCTTTACCAAGCACTTCAGCCGATGACTTCAAAAGACAGTCCAAACTAAGCCTTTCTCCTCCTTCAAATATAACTATTTCACACTCATCTTTCTTATCTGGAGGAAAATTATGAACAGTAGTCTGAAGCTGAAAAATAGATTTTTTCTTTCTGAACCATAAGTACATCAAAACAAGAAAGGCCAAAGTCACACAAATCAAAATTATATTTCCTATGCTTACTGCGAGGACTGTGGTGTCAGCAAGTTTTTCTCTATTGAGCATTTTTACAGCCTTCTTGCAACTTGGAAGAGGTGATCCACATAAAGCTAGATTGCTTCCAAATGATGATTTTGGGAACTTTGAAAGAGTTGGAGAGATTTCTCCGGTAAGGTGGTTCGCCGAGACGTTGAAGTCCATTGTGAGAGGCAAATGGAAGTCCTTAAGGTCACCAGAGAAGCCATTGTACTCTACTCTTAGAGAGAGCAAGGAGGGGAGATTTATACTTAGAGTTCCACTGAGTTGGTTGTGGGAGAGGAAGAGGCGCTTCAAATTTGGGTGTGTGAGGTTTGTCATAGGCGGCAATGAGCCACTGAGAGCATTTCTTCTGAGGCTGAGGACTTTGAGATTGTTTAGTTGAAGAAGCGGTGTGACGCTGCCAACTAGAGAGGCATTGTCAAGTCTGATACTCACTACTGTATTTTCTTTGCATTTGACACCGAGCCAGGAACCAGAGCATGGGTTTCTCCCTTCCCAGGTTTGAAGAAAAGGGTTGAAGAGATTAGAAGAGGACCTGAAGGATAGAAGGGTGTTGAGATCATGGTTGTCAGGAAATGGTTTTTCATGTGAAGGAGATGAGGTCTTGAAGAAGGAGAGGAGGAGGAGAAGGAGAAAAAGGAAGTGGAGGTGTCTGAATAGCTCCATTCAAGTTTCAGAACTTTCAGATTGGTGTAACTATGGAAGCTGGGGAAGGAACTATATATATATATCAGGAGACGTGAAACTCATTAAACTCTTATTTTACTTCTGATGTGAGATTTCTCAATAAACTCCTTAAATGAATATCACCAAACGACGTAAATCTGTCATGTAATTATGATCTTTGATGTATTTGTTCTTTTAGCTTCATTTTATTTTGCTCAAAATTTGTCACTGTGATAACAGTACAGAATATATAAAAGATTGGAAACGACGTTGAGAGGGTACCAAAAGAAACAAGAACCTTGGTGTTTGATCATGGAGATCGAGAGGAATCTGGTTCTTGTTAACAGCAAAATGTTGTGTGCTTGTAGACAAGGATGCTTTTGGTTGTCTCAAGGAATTCTTCTTTATTGGATAGAGAAAAATCAGC